GACAAAGTGCACAAACAATCCTACAAATTAAGTGGAGCTCATTATGCAACTCCGTTGCATATTGACGAAACACCACATTTGGTTATTTAGTTCAATCTCGTTTATGTACTCAACAATATTAAATGTTGTTAAACATGGCAAGAGAGTGAAGCAAATGAAAACTACCTATCTAGGCAAGTTTAAATGATGCCAGAAGCAACGAACAACAATTCCGGTAAATCCCCATATGTAAATATTAGGTTTGGTACTGATCTGTCCTAAACACAATTTTAGAGTTATTAAACATGCAAAGTAAAGCCATCATGATAAACTAGGCATTTTTCCACCCCAATTACATATAAAGTTCATGAAATTCCGAGTTACGGTTATTTAGTTATGAAATAAAGCATTTTAGCATGGCATATGGACAAAAAATACACAAACAACATTTTAAACATGGATAAAAGTTGCATATTATGAAACTAGACAAAATGCTAGGCATTTTACATATATGAAATGTTTTATTTAGATGCAAGGAAGAAGAACGCGTCCATGAAGAAGACAAACGGACGTAGTTGAACGAATCCTCACAAACGCGACGTTACCGGAATACCGAGAAGAAGCAACACCAGAAAGAAGCAAACAACATATTAAACAACCAGCACATCAACATGGCACGATGCGCAAACAAATATGATGCATGTCCGGTTTAATGAAGCATGGCATGGCAAAGTGCACAAACAATCCTACAAATTAAGTGGAGCTCATTATGCAACTCCGTTGCATATTGACGAAACACCACATTTGGTTATTTAGTTCAATCTCGTTTATGTACTCAACAATATTAAATGTTGTTAAACATGGCAAGAGAGTGAAGCAAATGAAAACTACCTATCTAGGCAAGTTTAAATGAGGCCGGAAGCAACAAACAACAATTCTGGTATATCCCCATATGTAAATATTAGGTTTGGTACTGATCTGTCCTAAACACAATTTTAGAGTTATTAAACATGCAAAGTAAAGCCATCATGATAAACTAGGCATTTTTCCATCCCAATTACATATAAAGTTTATGAAATTCCGAGTTACGGTTATTTAGTTATGAAATAAAGCATTTTAGCATGGCATATGGACATAAAATACACAAACAACATTTTAAACATGGATAAAAGTTGCATATTATGAAACTAGACAAAATTCTAGGCATTTTACATATATGAAATGTTTTATTTAGATGCATGGATATTTGGTTATTAGCATCTTAAAGAAGTGGCATTTCCTGTAAAAAAACACATACGCGGCCGAGAAGCAAAACAGTATTAAATGTTGCAAATAAAGGCCGGAAGCAACGAACAATATGTACCAAACAATATGTACTCAACGAACAAAACAGTATTAAATGAGTACCAAACAATATGTACTCAACAATATTAAATGTTGTTAAACATGGCAAGAGAGTGAAGCAAATGAAAACTACCTATCTAGGCAAGTTTAAATGAGGCCGGAAGCAACGAACAACAATTCCGGTATATCCCCATATGTAAATATTAGGTTTGGTACTGATCTGTCCTAAACACAATTTTAGAGTTATTAAACATGCAAAGTAAAGCCATCATGATAAACTAGGCATTTTTCCATCCCAATTACATATAAAGTTTATGAAATTCCGAGTTACGGTTATTTAGTTATGAAATAAAGCATTTTAGCATGGCATATGGACATAAAATACACAAACAACATTTTAAACATGGATAAAAGTTGCATATTATGAAACTAGACAAAATTCTAGGCATTTTACATATATGAAATGTTTTATTTAGATGCATGGATATTTGGTTATTAGCATCTTAAAGAAGTGGCATTTCCTGTAAAAAAACACATACGCGGCCGAGAAGCAAAACAGTGCAGCAACCCAAGTGGCTGTGGAAAGGGGTGTGTGTGGATAGAGAGGATGACGAGTGGGGTCCCACTGTCATAGAGGGGACAAAGGCAAAAATTGAGGGGGCTAAATGGCCCTCATGGGGTTCGAACCCTGGTGTCCCTGGTAGAAGTCTGTGGCCTGATCCACCGCGCTACTGTTGTGTGTTTGGCTTAGATGCAGATAAACATCATAAGACCACCAAGAAGGGCGGACCTTGGCCCTCCATGGTGGCACGGAGATCGCCGGAGACGACGGCGAGCAAAGCAGCGACGGTTGAGGCTAGAGAGCGGCGGCGGGGGTGCGGATCTTGGTGAGGTTGCGATGCATGCAGGGGCTCGCGTGAGGCCGGACTAGCTGGACATGGCTACGGCCATGGTTGCCGGCTGGTTCAGAGAAGATGCGCGTGGGCGTGTGTGCAAGCGAGGAGCAGAGAAAACAAGGGAGCCTCCGGCGCATGCGAGCGGGACGGCGAAGGAGCTCGTCGGAGGAAACTCCGGCGACCAAAAGCTACGGCTGAGGTGCGCAAATGAACCGCAACGGGGACCCGAACTCCCGCATGTCTCGCACAGCACCAAGTGACGATGGAGGCGTCGCCGGCGTTGAGGAAACAGAGGCGGCGAGGCCATACTTGAACTCGAAGAAACAAAGGTCGAAGTGGCGCGAATCTAAGCTGGATGAGCCCTACGCGACAAGCGGAACCTACTACGTCAGGCTCGAGACGGAAAGAGGCCGGACTCCTCGCCGGTGATGAGGTCCGACGGAGTCGAGCTCGGGAATCACATGGAACACGCGTAACAGGATGCAATCGAGGGGAAACAATGACTGGGAAGGTGCGCATGCTCACCACGAACACGCTTAGGTGCTCGGCTGGGCGAGAGATGGACGGAGGGATGACAGGGCTCGCTGAACTTGGCGCTACTCTGGACCATGAAGAAGATGAAGCGGAGGAAGATGACGTCGTGGAGGCCTGGAGGGAGTCGTTCGCGTTGGCCTTGGGTTCTTCCAGCTCCTGGCCTTGATTGAAGACGAAGAAGACGACGTAGGCGAGCCGACCAGGAGCGAAGACAATGGCGAAGGAGGGCTATGGCCGCGGCGGAGCCATGGAACTGCTCCGGGAGCTCTCTGGTGGAAGAGGCGACGGCTATGTTGGGTGGCTCACCTGCGGCGGCGGCGGAGGGAGGAGAGGGAAAGAAGGGAAACCCTAGGGGCGAAGCGCTGGCTTTATAGGGGAAGCGTGGGCACCGTGGTGGCCACGGTGGCCTTGTGGGTGCTGCCTCCCTCTTTTACTGTGAGAAGGAGAGCAATTGAGAGGAGGAAGAAAAGGTGAGGAGAGAGAGGTTGACAGGCGGGCCCAGGGTAAAAAAATATGCTACGTGGAGGTGGAATTACCAGAGTGGGAGGTGGTTGGCGGGCTGGGCTGGCCTGGTGTACTGCTTCTGCCTCTTTCTTTTCTTTTCCATTTCTTTAGACAGAAATACAAAAAGGAAAGAGCAGGGAAAAAGGAGAGGAGCTAGAGAAATATAAAAAAATATTCTCATGATCCTGAAAATGTGCTCTATTTAACAAAATTGGTTTGGAGATTTTTAAAGGAAGTAAAAATAATTCAAGTTTGAATTAAATTCAAACTTGAACCATTTTAAACCCTAACCAAAACAATTCCAATAGAGATGAAATTTGACAGAGAGGCTAGGTACATGGTGTTAGAATATTGGGGAAAAGATGAACATCAAAAGAGAAGGGAAAATGACACTTGCAGAAATGGAAGAAAGGAAAGGAAGGAGGAGTGATGGTGCAAGAACCACACATGGAGCATGCAACAATACAGTATGCATGAATATGACAATGCACATGATGATATGATATGCAATGCATGACACGCAAGCAATGACAAGGCAACAACAACGAATAACTGAAGGACACCTGGCACATCGGTCTTGGGGCGTTACAATGGCGGGGTGGGATTTAAGATAACAACGGAAGATAAAACTCATGATTTGGGGTTAGACAGGGCTTTGAAGGGGATGGGGATTTTGAGGCCCATTTGAGGACTATAGAAAACATGTACATGGTATCATTTCTATCAGAGTGCTATGAAATCGGTAATTCATAAATGACCGGCTCATTTTTCATCGACATTATGCTCCCTCGATGTCAATTAATGTCATAATCGAAATCAAAATCTATAAATACACTATGCTCCCAATTAAGGCATTCAATTTAGAATTGGGTAACCCGATTTTGGCCGGGCTAACAATTTTATTTTTCTCTAGGAGTTCTCTCATTCAATTCTTTTACTCCACTATACCCCACTTGATTGAGGTATTTAATTTTTGATTTAGTTCATGATTTTGACCATGTCAAGGATTTTTCAAATCAATTGACATCCAAAAAAGTCGACATCCATAATACAAACTAAATAAAATATAAAATGCATTCAAGGATGAATCTAATGATACAAATTTAATATTATGGATATTAATATATTTCTCTATAAATTTGGTCAACCTTAAATATGTTTGACTTTTCAAAAAACTAATACACCTTATATTTTAAGCCAAAGGGAGTGAGAAAAATTATGAAAACCCAATAACAGCAACGGTGCAGCAGAGGACGCCTAACGAGTCAATAGTCAAAGTGAATAGCAGAAGGCCGAGAACCATCTCATTCTAGACTAACAGTAAATATGAAAAATCTAACAAATCAGAAGAATCTCAACCTCATGTTTATTCTGGGTCCACTCACTGCTAAATCGACATAGACTTTTCTATGTACAAGTTGATATTGAAAAGTACAATTTCTTTAGTGAAAAAAGGACAATTTTTATAATGAAAAGTACAACCTGTAATATCGCGTATGTACACACAAAACCATGCTAAAAAAAAATACTCCAATCCTCCCAAGGGCATTTGAGTGTGGTAATTAGCTGTTGATCTGCAAAATTTACAAACCTGCCTGCCTGTGCCTTGGCCAGGCAGCTCTGCCCACAGGGAGGCAACCAAGAATTTAAAGCGGCAACAAGATCGTCGGCGGCGCCGGATCCTGCTCCGCCTTGTTATCTCCGCCCCGCAACCCCCACGCCCGAACCTGCAGCCGAGCCGAGATGCATCTGAGCGAGAACGAGGGGATCGAGGGCGTGCGGTTCGCGGTGACCGGCGGGCAGGGCTTCGTCGGCGCCGCCCTCTGCTTGGAGCTGATCCGCCGCGGCGCCCTGGAGGTCCGCTCCCTCGACCTGCGCGCCTCCTCCTCCTGGTCCCAGCAGCTCCTCGACGCCGGCGTCCGCTTCTTCCAAGGTTGCCCTCTCCCTCGCTCGCTCAAATTACTGTGGTTTTTGCTTCAGTGTAAATGTCCCCGTCTAATGGAGTTCATGTACCAGACAGGTTGCTCTTAGACGCACATCTTTGACACAATTGCTTTCCAGACTATGATACATTATGCTGCTACTCTTTCTTACTAGGATATAGTTCTACCACTGAATCAAGCTGCAAATTTAGTGTCTGTTCCACGGAGATTTTACCGTCAGTACTCTTCGGTGTGTTTGTTCGGCTTCAAGTAGAGAGGGCTCTTGCATGGTTACTTCTTAAAATAGCAACACTTACAGTATCAATTAGACCATCGTGCCTTGAATTGCCTAACTGTACTGCTCTGAATTCATCTGCAAATGTGTCGGAGATTTTACATCAGTACTCCTTGGTGTGTTTGTTTTGCTTCAAGTAGAGAGGGTTCTTGCATGCTTACTTCTTGAAATAGTAACTCTAACAGCATCTATTATACCATCATGGCTTGAATTGTCTATCAACGCCAGATGTACGCTGAATTATAAAGTATCTGCTGGATTACTTTGTGTTGCAGGGGATGTTCGGAAGAAGGAGGATGTGGAGAAGGTCTTCCGCAACGTGGACTGTGTCTTCCACCTTGCTTCATATGGCATGTCAGGGAAAGAAATGGTACAGGCAGGACGAACAGATGAGATCAATATAAACGGGACGTGCAATGTACTGGATGCTTGCCATGAGCATGGTGTCAGAAGGCTTGTGTATGTAAGCACATACAATGTGGTGTTTGGGGGAAAGCCAATTGTCAATGGCAGTGAGACGTTGCCTTATTTTCCCATCGAAGACCATGTTGATGCTTATGGGCGTAGCAAATCGATAGCTGAACAGTTGGTGCTGAAGAGCAATGGTCGGCAAGCTAAGTAAGTATAACTTCTTTTTTCGTCATGATTCGTATTTGTCTGCCTCTGCAACGATGCCATGTATATGATATCATGATTCTAGTGATGATGGGTTTATTCTCTAGTACAACCATATTTGTTCAAAACAAATATTTGGTTTGTTTTGAACTCAGATTGGCATTTTTGGTAGGTAGTACTTGACACCATGCAGGCTGTCTTAGTGTCATACTGATCTGATGTTTGCCTACAGGAGTAATAAAGGTACCCGTCTTTATACATGTGCAATACGCCCGGCTGCTATCTATGGTCCAGGTGAAGAGCGTCATCTTCCAAGAATCCTGTCTCTTGGAAAATTGGGATTAGCATCTTTCAGGATTGGGGCTCCAAATGTGAAGACAGATTGGGTCTATGCTGATAATCTTGTTCTTGCACTGATATTGGCAAGTATGGGCCTTTTAGATGACATTCCTGGCAGGAAGGGAACTCCTGTAGCAGCTGGTCAAGCATACTTCATATGTGATGGTAATCCTTGTTAGCCCGCATGTTTTCTGCTCCTGTCCTGGCATTATTATTTATTGACTTTATACATTGTTACTGACTTATAAACTCATACTCATGGTACTATGTTCTGAATATTTAAGACGTGCCCGCATGGTCTCTGCTCCTGTCCTAGTATTATTAGCATTATATACAGTTTCTGAGTTATAACTTTATAGTCATGGTACTATGTTCTGAATTTTAATACTCCCTTCGAACTAAACCAGCGACAAGTAATATGGATCGGAGGGAGTACTATCTTCTGCATATCAGTGCAACCTTTGTGGTTTCAACTTTCAACTAGTCGTACATGTAACATGTTTAGTTGGTTACTCTAATAGAACTACTTAAAGAATATCAGTTATTTCATCCCTTGATCTTCGCAATAGTGCCACTGTTAAGGATGTATATTATTCTACTTGTTGCACTGCCACATAACTTGTTCGGTGGCTGTTTTGTTACCAGAATCTGGGAACGTTGTGTAGTGATGTGCGTGTTTTAGCTGTGAACCTTGTAGTATCTAGTTTCTTTTAATTAAAAATCGGGGGCAAACCTTTCCTCAAGAAGGGGGAAAAAAGCACGTAACTCATCTGCTAAAAGCGCTTCAGAAATTTTCAGATGGCACTACATTGCATAGGCCTGAAAGTACTACTCCCTCCGTCCCAAAATAAGTGACTCAACTTTGTATTAACTTTAGTACAAAGTTAGTATAAAGTTGAGTCACTTATTTTGGGACGGAGGAAGTATTTTGCTACTTTTCCTTCCAAGTTCAAAGCTTAACTATTACAGTACAAACTTAATTGTAGCATGTACCTGATGTTTTACTGTTATTTTAGCTTTGTTTACGTTCAATATACCCACAACCTTAAATAAAGAATTGGTATTTTGACTAGAAGTAACTGATTGTACTTCAAGATAAATATGGCATTGCCTTATTGGTTTTTCTTTTCTTTTCAGGAGCGCCTATTAATAGTTTCGATTTTATCATCAGTCCCTTATTTCGAAGTTTGGGCTATGCTGTTCCTCGAGTTACACTAGATACCTCTGTTGCCCTCGCAATTTCAAGAATCATTTTGTTCATGTCCACACTACTCTATCCATGGTTAGATAGTAAATGGATTCCTCAGCCTCTTATTCTTCCTGCTGAAGTATACAAGGTAAGTCTATTGGTCGAGTTACACTAGATATCTCTGTTGCCCTAGTGCTTGTCCCTTAAGGAACACTATATTTCTGTTTTTTGTGCAAGGTGGATATATTTTGATCATAATTTTTTATACTATCTTCATATGGCAACCGTGTTCATCATGCTGAGGCATGAATAACTATAGATCCTTTTTTTTCTTTGGTTTTCTATGAGCTTGAACCTATCCACCTAATATAGCCACGACAGGTCTGCAGTAATCAGAGCTAACAATATTTTTTTGATCAAAGAGCTAACAATATTTTGAAAATTATCATTTTCAAGGGATATCTGTAGTTCTGTACTGACTACTTATGCTTTACTACTAGGCAAGTAGACTTGCTATAATATAATATTACTATTGACAAGTGACTGATGTGTGGCAACAAATCATTGCCTGTATACAGGGATCATAAACTAATGCTGGTAGTTCATATTGACAGGTAGGTGTTACACATTACTTTTCATATCTGAAAGCTAAAGAGGAACTCGGCTACGTGCCTGTGACGAGTCCACAGGAAGGCCTGGCCGCAACAATCTCCTATTGGCAAGAGCGAAAGAGGAGAGAGCTCGATGGCCCGACGATATTCACCTGGGTTGCAGTAATAATCGGGATGCTGGCTGTGTTCTCCGCCGCTTTCCTTCCACCCGTCGGTCCGCTCAAATGGGTGCTCGCCGTCCATCTCTTCGTTTTCCGCTCGGTGCTGGCGATCCGGATAGTCTTTGTGGCTGCGGTCGCGGCGCACGCGGGCGAAGGCGTCTACGCCTGGTTCCTGGCGAAGAAGGTCGACCCGAGGAACGCGACGGGGTGGTTTTGGCAGACCTTTGCCCTGGGGTTCTTTTCCCTCCGGTTTCTGCTCAAGAGAGCGAGAGCGGGAGCGGGAGCGTGATTTGTGTGTTGTGCTTCACCTACTCTCTGGGAATTCAGTAACAATGGATTCCAGTAGAAATTCCCCAGCGGTTGTAAACCCCGGTGCTGTGTAAAATGCCCACCCTGAGGTTTCTGTAATGTACTGTACTCTATCAGGCGTGCATGTCCGTCGCCTTGCCATGTTTTACTCGAGTTTGGCATTGAACCGGAGGTTGCCGCACATGGACACATGGTCGGTCGGGTCGTGCCTGTGACCCTCAAGTATCAAATGTCATTTGTTTTGAGAGGTTGTAACAATCACTGTCGGTCTGTCAGGCCAAATGTGACCGCTCAACCGACACAAATTCTAAAGCTTTCACCGATGTAGGCCCTGTTTGTATCATGAGGTTAGAGCTAGTTTGGGTTAGTTGGAGGCTCAAATAACGCAAAAGTATCCAAACAGGAAAGGTTAGAGTGGGTTAGTTTCATCTAATCTAATTATTCTGGTGGAGAGGTGCTTATTTGGGTTAAGAGTGGGTTAGAAAATAACTCTAACTCTAACTGTGTTAGAGTATTCAAACAGGACCGTAGTAGTAGGACTACACACTGAGCTGTTTAATATGTGGGGGCTAGACACAGCTCGTTTTTCTTACGTACTAGAGTCGGTACGTAGCAGGAACTAGGTTATTGTTGCTGTCCCTGATTTGTCCCTGCTTTGTTTTGCTTGGAGCTACCACTACGGCGCTACCTACCCGGAACAAAGGCATATTTATTTATACACGAAAATGCCTAATGGAGGGCGGACCCAGGGAGACCGGTATTCAAGTACCGTATTTGTAGTACACGACGAAAAAATTGTGGGAAATTTGTGCATGCACAATACATGTATACCACGGAGGTGCAAATTCTCATAACAACACACAAAAAGACAAATATGTAAATGAAAGTGGGCCCTTTTTTGTTGTTGTTGGGCTGGGATTTTGTTAGCTTGTAAATCACTATATTTTTAAACGAAAATTCACATACCTATAGTGAAAACGTATAATTCCACAGGTTTTTTTTATTGTACGATTTTCGATTATTCTGCTCAAAATACCGGGCTCCAGCAAAAAATTGCACTCATATTATATATACCCCTAATAAAAAAAATCAAAGGTATATTACAGCGTCGTGATGGTTCAGTCAAACTGCTGGGACGAGGGAAGAAAGGAACAAAGGAGCTGCAGCAGTTGCGCCCCTCCACGCCCTCCACTCGGGTGATTCCTTCCTCCACCCACCTGGCAGCCCAACCAACCTACCTCGCCGTCTCATTTAGCGCACGCAGGTGGAGGTGGGTGTCGGCGGGAGGAAGCAACCGACGATCGAGACCGAGAGAACAGTGGTCGTTCAGTAGGGGCGGGCGGGCCCGGGCGTCGTATCGGAGTTGGACTTGTGAACCGCCGCCGCTGTCCGCTGTCCGGCTCCTGTGCCCGCTTCTTCGGAGCCACACATCTCTCCGGAGCATCAACACCGGTGTGTGTCCGGTGGCTTCCGACCTTTTTTCCCGCGTCGGATTGCACGCCACCGCCGCATGATTCCGGCGTGAAACGCGCTGAAACGCTCAGGGCGGGCGTTGGAATTGCTTTCGGTTTTACACCGTCCCTGCGGGTGATGCTCGCGAAGACGCACGCGGCACGCGTTGTTAGGGCATCTTCACCGCGCTCCAAAAAGGCCCTTCAGGCATGTTTTCGTTCGCCAGCGTCAAAAAATTGGCCCAGTCGTGTCTCTAAAATCCCAGTTTTCGCCGGCTCGGGCCGAAATTGTCGCCGACGAATCCAACCTGAACCCGGCGCGCTGGGGTCGCTCGGGGGCGCCGGGCGAATCGTTTTTGGCGCGAAGAGCCGTGGGCCCGCCGCGTCAGCGACTCTACTTTCTTCTCGCACCTTCGTCGTCCTCATCGCCTCGTTTCCCGCGGCGAATCAATGCCAAAACTGTCGCGCGCTGCCGCGCCGGTTAGCCTCCATTGGTGCCTCACGGCGGCGCACTGAAGGCTGGGCGACGCGTCCCTCGGCCACCACGCAATCACGCCACGCGTAACGCGCCGGCCAAGCCTACTACGCGGCGTCTCCGCCTATAAAAGCCGACTGCAAGCGCGCTGGAGGGACTCACCCTGATCATCCACCGACGACGCGCTCATTTCTCCCCCTTTCCTCTTCTCGCCGTCACCAGTTGAGAAAGCATGGTCGAGCGTTTCCCAGGCGACGGCGCGGCGCCGAACGGATTCGGGCACCGTCATCTGCACGAGGACGAGGCTCGCCTCCTTTTCGAGGCCGAGTACCCGGTCCCGCCGGACATGCGGGTGCCCGGGGCGTGGAGGATCAGCGCCGGCGACGTGCCGGTGCCCCCGGTACCCACCGGCGCGGCGCGGCGTGCGGAGATCGCACGCATCCGCTCGTGGAGGGGCCCCGTTACGTCCCCGACAGCCCAATTTGGGAGCCGTACTTCCGCCGCCGGCACGGCGAGCAGCTCGAGGCCACCAACGGCGTCGTGCCCTCCGGCAGGTTCAATGCCGCCGGCCGGCGTCGGTGGTGGGGCGTGCCCGGGCGCACGTCGAAATCCGTCCTCGAGTACATCGAGGGCGGCAACACGCCGCGCCTCGAGTACCCCGCTCCCCCGTCCTCCTCACGCCGCCGCCGGGGAAGCTCCTGGACGCCGAGGCGCATGGAGACCGGGGTGTCCTTCTCCTCGTCCGGCGGCTCTCCCTGCCTCCACCTCCGCCCCGTCAAGCCGGAGCCCCAGGACACGCCTGTCAGCGCGCGCACCCGCAGCTCCGGCGCCCTCGTCGAGCCCAAGGTGGAGTCAAGCCTCCCCCCGGAGTACGAGGAGATAGCCCAGCGCGGCTTCTCCGACGAGGACGCCATGCGGTGGTCGCGCAACGACTACCTGCGCGAGGAGATGATCTGGCAGCACCGAGCCCTGGAGGAGATCGCCGCCCGCAAACGTGGGCGCGAGGACGAGGACGGTGTCGTCGTCCTCGATAGCGACGACGATGACGCCCCCGGACCGTCCAACCCACCGCGCCAACCGGGGAGGGATGCAGCAGGGACGGCGGAGGCGTAGGCGGGGGCGACGACGACGACGACGGCGGTGACTACACGCGGTTCTACAGCCTCCTCGGCATGTAGAACCGCGTGGGCGGGCGGCGAGGGTGACGGCGGGGGTAGCCGGCGGTAGTTTTTTCCTTTTTTTTGTAAAATATGTTTAAATTTGAGCGAACTCGCCCGTGTTTGCGTTGTGTTTGCGTCGAATTTAAACATTTTAAAAACCCGTGGGGGGCCGCGACTGGGGGGCATCACGCCCCCAGGCGCGGTTTAGCGCCGGTGCGCCTCAGGGGATGATTTTTTGCCCCTCCTGGGAGGCCAACGGCTGGAGATGCCCTTATATTATTATTACGTACGAGAAGAAAAAAAAGGAGAATTGTCCTTGTGGGAAAGGCCTGGTACGTTGAAGTGTGGCCGGAAGGTGACAAATAGCTGGTTGTTCTATTTTTTTTTGTGTGTGTGAAAGAAACAGTTGGTTGTTCTGTGGGGTAGGAGCATTGTTTCGTGGGCGACCTGACTGGCGATTTGGATGATTAATCCAACCCCCCATGTTCTCATGAGCATCCTTTTGCTTATTACTACTAATCAAGCACGTATTTTTTATATTTTTTTATGTGAAGCATCCATCCATCATTGAGAGAGGATCATCAAAGGTTCCAGCGAAGCTAGCAACAAGTGCAAACGGGGCCGTCCTCTCATTATGATCTCAAAGTAGCGCATCGCTGTGCAACTGCAACCAGGTGTCCGGTTGATAGATCCGAGGACAACATCAACGATAATGTCCACTCATTTTACCGCCCCAAAGGCATACACACGACCCGTTCATCTCCTGCACTGTCAAACTAGTAGTAGAAAAACTTTCTCGCGTTCCACGTACCAGGGCCTAGGCCAGCACGATGGAGAACAAAGTCAGACAGGTCGCCACGTGGTGGTGGATGTCAAAGCAGAGCAGCAGGTGCGGTTGCCAGGTGGTACACACAGCACAGGCAGGCACAACCGCACCGGCAGCTGACGCCCATCATTTGCCTTCCATTGCCAGCCAACACGGTCGCCTCCCTGGCTGGAACAACACGCATCAGCCTCCGCTCCGGCGGTGTACGAAGCCTTCAACTGCACTTCGTGGCCCCCGATGCCCAAAAGCCAGCCAGCCAGCCTGTCCAGCCGCGACTCGACACACACCGCGGCGCCAGCCCGCCACTCACATATACACGCCCAGACGCGCGTCCTACGACTTCCTCCCCAACTCCTCCCCAGAGCGCCAAGAAGAGATCTGGAGAAGGGAGAAGCGGAAGGCCATTGCTAGCTAGCTCCCCGCCGTCTCCTCCCTCCTCGCTTGGTGTCGCCATGGCCACCATCCTGGAGAACATCCAGAAGGCGCGGTTCCTGCCGACGAGGCCGCTGCGGGACGACCTGCCCACCTTCCAGGGCGGCGGGGGCGGCAAGGGGGAGGAGAGCCACCTCATGGGCCTGCGGAAGCGCCTCTCCAGCTTCTCCGGCAAGATCCAGCCCATCTCCTCCGCGTCCGCCGAGTGGGCGTTCCGGCGCACCCGGTCGGCGCCGTCGCTGGCCGCCGAGTTCGCCGGCGGCCCGCTCAAGCGCTGGTGGGACTGGGGCCTCGGCTGGCTGCTCTCCAAGAAGCTCGGCTTCGCCGGCGACCTGGAGATGAACGAGGAGGAGGCCGCCGCGCTCGGCCGCCAAAGCCGGGGCACCTGGGCCCACGTCCTCTACAAGGTGCGCTCCGGGGTCCGCCGCCTCGTCGCGTCCGACCACTCGCTGCCCACCTCGCAGCGCCTCAGGGGCGCCTCGCTGCCCCCGTCCTCCTCCGCGCGCCAGCACTGCAAGCCCGCGCCGCAGTTCGCATACACCCAGAGCTTCCAGTACGGCCAGGCAATGGCGCACTAAGCTACATATCTTGTGTTCTTTGGTTGGAACAAGACCAGGATCTGGCGGTGTCGTCCGCGGGATCCACATAGATACGACGGGAAAAAGGAGAAGATTCAGGTCTCAGGTGGGTGAGATCGACGGGGAAGAAGAAGATGCAACACAATTATATCTGGGAATATAGAATTGTACTACGTAGTAGTTTACCGTGCTGCTTTCTTTTCTTTTTTGTGGGTAGATCTGATGTCTCTACGTATGATAGATACCGAGTGTATGGTGGTGGTTCTTTCCATTCTTTTGGGTTCGTGGGTGCCATGTAAATGTTGGTGGATCGATTCCTTATGTTTTTGCCTCCTGCGGTAAATAAAAGCTAATGCAGATTCGTGATTCGTCTTGATAATATAGATGCCATGTAGTGCTTCGTTCAGATCTGAGGAGCTGAACCATCTTTCCAGTTGGTACCAGCTAATGGTTCATGCAGCTCACAATGGCTGGTGGAGCTAGCTAACGAGGGTTTTGTTTTCCTTTCTTAGAGGCTTAATACCACAGATGGCACGCATTATATTATAATTATAGAAAGCAGCTCCGTATGATTGAAGTGCTGCTCAGGCAGATAAAATAATAATGGAAGTGCTCCGATGGAATGCAGTGTCGGTGCATCAGCAAGGCAGAAGAAAAATAATAAGAACGTGTCGGTGTATTATATTAGCAAAAAAGAAGAAAAACAATTATAAAAAGGAGGAGGAGGAGGAGGAAGAAGAGGCAAAGGAGACGACACACACGAATCTTGCGTATTCTTTTACAGGAGTTTGGCGTATGTTTCTTGAGCTACCGTCTTTTCAGCGGTTTTTGAGGAGACTTTTCGAGCGTTTTTTGTGTTTAGGGTGTTTCCAAAAAGTGACATTAGAGCAGAAAGTAGTAACCAAGGAGTAGGCGCGGTTGGGAGCATAGGTGAAGCGTCGCGACGAGGAGAACAGGTGGAAGGTCCAAATCTGTGACATGTGCGCCACCAGAGACGAAACGAATGATTGGAAGCATGGCACACACGAATTCAGGCAGTGTACTTGTGGTTTACTGGTTCTGGTACTAGCTTACAGCTTTCTGATGGAGATAGAAAGTACTAATGGTCGCTGACGTGCTCGTATGCACCAGCTCATTATGTTCCGAATCCAACAAAATGTGAGTTCACTAGTTGTGTTCTGAATCCAACGAATATTGCGGGGAAGGAGGACGGCGGCGATGCAGCTGCTGCTGTCAATCGATCGAAAGGAGGCATGCCTTGCGCAGGGAAGTGTGGCTCGGGCCTCAGGGTACCTCTGCCAAAGTTTTTACGAAATGTTTGTGCGTCAAATAGAGAAAAACACTAAACACTACCCCATGTTTTCAGCGTACGGATGGACGGATCTTTGATGTTATGTAATCTTTTTTTGACACTTAAGATCTTGTTTCATTCATTCACAAGTAGCAATACATCGTTCACAGGGACTGGAATTGTTGCCCAGGGGCATCATCCATCCAAGTACTAGCTAGTAGAAGAAGATCTAGCTAGACCAGCTAACTCATGTGAGGCTACATTGGCCTCTCCAGGACAGTTTTCGTAAACGGAATTGATGTACACACGATGTTCTGTGCACGACGTCTAGCCGATAATTGCTTTGCACCGTCAGATGCTCTAGGAACAAAAGTACAAATGGCTGGATGGAAAAGTCCTGTGCATGTCGTCTACAAAATGCCGGTTGTACATCAGTGCTCTTTCGTAACTAAGGCACTCGGGAAGCCCGAGATGAACCCCCTGCAATTATTGTCGTAATCGCTTTATTGTATTGCATCCAATTCTATGACCCACGTCCATCCCAAATCTCATTGCATTGGCTTCGACAATCAGAGCATCAAGACAAATATCAATGTGATCATTCCCCGTTGCAATAAAAAATTTCGTATCATCACAAAGAATAGCCCCAACAGGAGCTTGGAGTGTGTATGGAGCAAAGCTAGCATCCAAATTGAGCTTTGGTCCAACACCATACTTCATCTTAGATTTTGGGTTGCTAGCTAATGTGAATTTTGCATCCAAAGCTCACATTGCAAGTTGAATTTGACTCGGTGTTTGTATTGGCTCATCATGTACAAAACTTTCTCTGTTCCCGCCATAAGTACCAAGCTGTAGTAGTAATTTCACGTTGTCCTAAGACCAGAGCCTCATGACCAGAGACATTCAATAGATACTCCAGAATCACCTTGCCAGCCAGATCAACAACACAAACTCTATCAATAGCATCACCAGGACCCAACAACCTCCATACTTGAGTAGCCGACACACATCCAAAGAGAAGATGCTTCACGTCATCGGCAAATAATTTCCATATTGGGCATTGGGGAGAAACCTTTATATGTTTATTAAGATAGCATGGCAAAGGATCGGCCCTTTCAGTGTCCTCCGGAGGGAAATTTTAATCTTGGCTAGACAATGCAAGTTCCATAACCCTTTCCACGTATTGTTATATGTTGAAGCTTCGAACGAGTGCTTGTTAGAGATCTGATTTCCAAACTGATAATTCCAAATGGCATGGTATGCCGATCAAACTGAAAAATGCCACTTTTGGTCACTCACAAAAAAAAAATCAGTGCTAAGCTTGGTTATCTCTGCATCAATGAGGCGTTTTAGGGGGGGGGGGATCTTTCAGCTTATTCATGGCTTTTGCACTTCGGCTTAAAAGCCAAAAAGAATCTATTATGTGTTTTTTGCTTTGGCTTTACATTGTATACTACTCCCTCCATCCCATGATATAAGAGCGTTTTCAACAGTAGTGTAGTATAAAAAAACGCTCTTATATTATGGGAAGGAGGGAGTATAATGTAACAATATTGAGATGTTTTAGTTCCTCTGTACCTTGAATAGTGTTTTAAGGGAATTTTGAGCAGTGTTAATAAAGGGGTTCTAATGGAGAACCCTACTCCCTGTGTACGTCGATAATTGTCGACCAAATGCATACGGCCGGCTCGCTACGTGTTTTGGGCAGGCCCAGGTAGCGCAAATCACTTTTTCGGTTTCCAGACCGATTTTTTTGTTTTTCATTCAATTTTTTCTTTCTTGTTTTGTTTTGTTTTTCATGTTTTTTTCCTTTTATTTTTTCTTCTTCTTTGTTTTTATTTTCTTTTATTTTTTCATTTCTTTTTTTGAAAATCATGAACTTTTTCAGTTTTTTCATAGAATTAAAAAAATTCAGAAAATACAAAAATGTTCATCAAAACAAAAAAATGTTCTTCATATTTGAAATTGTTCATGAATTTCATGAAATATTTAGAAAATTCAAAAAGTGTTCATACAATTAAAAATTTGAAACCGTGAGCACTTTTTACAAATTCGTGAACATTTTTTCGAATTCATGAAGAATTTTTGAAATCATGAATATGTTTCAAATTCATGAAAATTTTTACAAGTCACGAACATTTTTTGATATCATGAACATTGTTTCAAAATCACAAACATTTTTTTGAATTCATGAATTTTTTCTGTAACACTCGAACAATTTATGTATTCACGGTGATTTTTCAATCTCATGTACATTTTTTGAATTCACAAACAATTCAAATTCACAAATAGTTTTTCAAAATTACAAACACTTTTTGAGTCTGCAAGCATTTTTCAAATGTGAGAACATTGTTTTTGAATTCAAGAACATTTTTTGAATTCAATTTTTTTGAAATCATTAAGATTTTTCAAAGAAAAAAAGAAAAAAAAGGGACACCCCGGCCCCACAATGGCTGGCCCAAACTCACGCCGGGGCAAACGAGGGGTGTGCGTTACCTCGCTTCCCACCACTTGGTTCCAATCTACTATCTATCTACTACCCCTACAAAAGTACGAAAGGGCGGAGAACCAAATCATCTCAACCATTGAACCATGCTAATCTGATAGTCCAAATCGTCTCTTAACATCAAACGTGTTTAACACTCTAATTACCCACCACTGTCATTGGTTATAACCATGTTTGTCGCTCCTAAAAAAGGCCTCGTCTAGGCAGAACACCCGATCCCCTCGCACCGTCATGCCTGCCCACGATCTCCCGTTCCTCTCCCAAACCACCAGGTAGTTTCATCCCCCACCAGCCCCTTCCTGCGCCACCACCCCTCTCTTCCGCTAGCTTTCATGGCCGCCGCCATGCCCGCCTCTGGAAACTGGCACCATCACGCCGCCGAATCTTCGACGCCACCATGCACGGTCAAGGGGCAGCAAGCAGGCCAACACGACTAAATTCACTGCTGCGGCATCATCGTCAAGGACGCCAGGGCCAGCGACGGTCATGCACGACGACGTCTCTTCGTGCGATGCCGGATGGCGATCAAGCCATCGGGATGGGAGACGATGAGCAGAAACGGGCTTCCTCCGGTAAGACCAACAATCCGATGCATCCAGTTCGTGTTTACGTTTCTTAATTCATCTAATTTGTCAGTGCCACGTTGTTGATCACTCATGGCGCTCGCCTCGCCGCCCGACTCCTATCGCCGCTTGTTGTCGGACGCGGGTAGCAATATCCTGAAGCACTTCTTCGGCACGTGGGCATCAACTTTGGTCGGCGCGCACTGGCCGTAGGCGACCAAACTTCACCTGCTCGAGGGAGGATGCAGCCCCACCCCAAGAACTTCATCCGGAGGAAACGGCCGCCATGGTCGGCGCCAAAGCTCGCTAGAGCAACATCGTCCACGACGGGTTCCTCTCGTCTATGCCCATGGCTCCTCGGCTTTCGATTGGGCAAGGGACGTCAGGGCGGAGGACACTTGTCAATGTCAATCCAAGCGCCTGCGCAATGTTGAGATTTTGAGGACCAGGGACGCGAGCCTCGCCCGCGATCAGACGCCTCGGAGCCTCGTGCGGCGCATTATCGTTATCAGCTGACGCGCCTGGAGATCCCGACGGGAGTGGGAGGATCGACGACATCATCGTCGTTATTGGCGCTTCTCTGATGCTCAACGTATTTTCATGCTCATGCGTGATGTTTTACATCATCGGCCAGAACAGG